AGCACTGGGTTGTATTTAACCCAGCATTTTTTAGAGTGTAAGATACCAAGGTGTACCTTTTGAAAGGGTACTGTTGTGCCTTTTTATACCTTTTTTCGGAGAATGTGCAGTCTTCACCATTAAAATTAAGGTAATTTTGTCAGCGCGGATAGCCTTGTGGGCAGCGTGTTGACATACAACACCGTTGCGTTACTACCGTCCCAAGTTAGAATCCTGACTTGAGGACCTTTCCCACCCCCCTCTCTCTCCCACTTCGCTTCCTGTCATGTCTGATCTGCCCTATCATAATAAAAAAATAATTTTAATAATATTAAAAAATATTAAAGTTTTTTTTACAGTCCATGAGATTGTTTAATTTAGGATGCTGTCTGAAGACAGCTGTCTATGTAACTGTTCCTCATTCATGAAACAAAGAGAACACATTTTCAGATTAAATAGTTGTCAAAAGCATTCATTCATAATTGCTATACATCCAATTTAATGCATTAGATGCGGATTTGTTCTGCTTGTTTGTCATTGAGTGAACAGGGGCACTGCTGCAGAACTGTGAAGTGTGAAATCTAACAACATATGATATGTAGAGAACATCCTGCAACAAAAACAGCACATTAACAGGCATACATTCACTTTGAAAGGACTCAAGCACTGATGGTAGTGCTTTATCACTTTACTGAACTAATGAAAAAAACAGACAAACCCTAATGGTTTTGCCGATTCCCACACTTGAAACTGGAATAAAGGCATGAAAAGATAACCCCCTAAATCTTGTGCAATGCTAAATGCTAGAAACAGAGAAAAACTCAATGTCTCTTTTTACCCCCCTTCTCTTGGAGACTGTTGCTGATTTATAAACAGGCAGCATTACAGCGCAGTTGAGACCCTTTACAAATATACTGTATATACTACCATTCAAAAGTTTGGGATCAATATGATTTTTTTTTTTAAAGAAACAAATACATTTCAGTAAAGACATTTATAATGTTACACTAGATTTCTATTTCAAATAAATGCTGTTCTTTTGAACTTTCTAT